GACAATCTATCCTCGACTGGTTATTCGCGCATCCCATCGATCCTCCTGCTGCTCCTGCGCGTCTAGAACACGCCGTCTAGCGGTCCCAAGAACTCAACGCTTAAGGGTAGGCTCTAGTAGCACCCATACCTTACGTTGTCGCTCGCTCACTCACATTGACACACACACACACACACTCTCTCTCTCTCTCTCCTCTTCTCTCCTTTGCCTATTCGTCCCTTGCCCCTTGCCCCTATCCCCACGTCTCGTTTTCTATAGGGCGAAGACTTCTCGGAGCGGAGCTAAGCCATCGCGCTCTTACGTTGGCATCAGCTGCCACCCAGAGCAAGAAGGGGGTTCTTTCGACAAGGAACCTGGGATGGGGGGGGGAGGGAAATAAAATAGATACATTCCTTCCAAGCGACGAGCCACGGTTCAGAGACGGCCGTTAGTTAGGCCTTCCGTGTGGTTGTCCGTTATAGACGATCAACGCAGGTACCGGAGCTGGTAGGTAGTTACAAATCGTAGGTAGAGGTATATATAGGATAGAACCGTTGATCACACGGTACCCGTGGCACCTGAGCAAGTGCCGAGGCTGTCTACGTAGATACCTAGGTAGGTAGAGATGATCGTTGCCCGGCTGAGATAGGCAGGCAGGTAGGCAGACAGGCAGGTAGGCTGCTCTCTCGCATTACGCAAGACGTGCGCGGCTGTAGGCCCGGATCGCCAGGGTCCCGACGAGGGGGAGGCGAAGGGGAGGGATAGTCCCGGATCGCCCACTGTCGGGCAGCGATCGGCGACGCAGCCCTCGCCCGCTGCCACTGCTCCCCTCCGCCCGCTCTCGTGGTTGCTGCGAGCACCCGGAGTCTTGCTTGCCGTAGAACCGCACCTCTTCCGTTCTTCTTCCTCCCCTCCCCCCCTCCCCCTTTACGCCCCCCCGTCTTGCTTCCCGCAGCGAAACCGGTGCTCGCGAAGCTCCCCCTCCTCCTTTTCTACATACTTATTTATTCAATTTCTTTTTCTGCGCCGCCGCCGCCCTCGGGCTCGCGACGTCGAGGCCCCGGGGGACGGGGAGCAGAGCAGCGCGACGGAGGCGGGCGCTAGAGCGCCGCGTGGTGCGCGGCAGAGAGCGCCTCGGGGCGTCTGCGCCGGGGCGAGGGAACCGTCGAGCCTGCGCCCCTCGAGCGCGATGGCGAAGCCGGGAGCGGCTTCTTCCTCGCGGGCGCTAGAGCCGGGGCTGGCTCCGAGCGCGGCCCCGCGCGCGCGAGACGACGTGCTGCCCTCCTGCGCTAGAAGCCTGTCCGCCCGTCGGCGTCTGCCCGCCTTTGCCGGCGAGCCCGCGGCCACGCAACCCCCCCCCCCCCCCCCCCCGGAGGCGGTCCCCCGCGCCGCCACGCGCTCTTCCCCCCCTGACCACCCGCGTCGCCCCCTGAGGTCTGCGTAGGCGTGGCGAATACCGGCGCCGCTCGCCCCGAGCCGCCACAGGTCGCGCACACACCCGCGGCCTGCTTCGCCAGGTCGCTGTCGGACCAGCGCGGCGCGGTTCGCGGGGGGGTCAGGAACGAGGGGTTTCGCCCGGTCGGCCGTCTGGCTGATATGGGGATGCGCCCGGGGCGAGGCGACGACGACGAACAGAACACCTCTCCACTACCACCGCCGCCGCCAGCCCGCCGACCGCGGCGGCTGGCGGCTCGCTGTCCAGGAGGGGAGGAGGTGCTGAGTCCGCGCTCCCTCCCCCCTCCTTCGCGCTGCTCGTCCGTCGAGCTGAACAACGCCTGTCTATTCCCTCCCTCCTACGGCCTGGGGGGGGGGGGCTTGGCGTCTGAGATAGGCGAGCGCGATACGGTGCCCCCTGGCCCTTCCCTCTGAAATCAATTTTTTTTTCAGGCGGGGGAGAGGGGGCGTATGTGTATGTGCGTAGTAAGACGGAGCCGCGCGTGCGCGATGAGAAGAAGAGAAAAGGAAGACAAAAGGCCAGGGCCTGTCTCTGGCGTGGCTAGCACCAGCGGCAGCAGCACCGGTGACCACGATAGCGCCTCGCGGCTGTGAGAGCCTGGATGTGCGGCTTTTTTTTTTGACAAAAATTTTTATATCCCTCGCGCTCACCCGCTGCGGTAGGATGAGTGTGGCGTATAGCGTGCGTACCGGCAGCGGCCAGACAGACGCCCCGAGTCTGGCTGGCGTCGGGACGAGAGCGGTCGGGCGGCCTGCCCTTTCCGGGCTATACGCCTCCTACATACGCAACATGCGTACGGATTCGGGTCCCCGATGCGTGACTGGTTCGCTCGGCCTGGCCCTGGCATGTGTAGTAGGCGGCGACACGTAGGGAATACGACGAGTAACATGTCTCTTTATCTGAGGAGGCGGGGCGCGGACTGCAACGCCTCGCCAGGTGCGTATATGCCTCCACGGCCCTATGCGGCAACCCGTCCTCTTTGCTTAGACGCAGCTTTCATACCCCTACTTCTCACGTACATACACATGTAGGTACATGTAGGCGCACATACATCCATACCTACATCACTTCCCCTACCTGTCTGCCTCCCCCCCGGCCTCCCTACATCCCCCCTCCCTCACCACAACATCCCTAGTCCTGCCAACACGTGGGACGCAACCAACACATCTAACCTCCAAGGCGACCGTACCGTCGCAGCGCCTCCGGGGTAAGGGGTCAGGAGGGGAGAAGGTAGGTAGGGGCTAGCAAAGCACGATACGAGCGACCTGCTCCCGTGGTCCTTCCCCCTTCTTTCCTTCCTTCCTTTCTCTTTCCCTTCCCGACCCTAACGATGCCGTCGACGGGGCGGACAGGCCAGTGGGGGCCAGGGCGACACCGAGCAAGAGAGGTATCGCGCCGCTACGTCGTCGTCTGACGAATCGGCTCCCTCCTTTCGGCAGTACATCTGGGACCCGCCTCGACGCCTGCCTACCTTGCCTCTCTGCCTTATTTGGCTCGCGGCTGAGACCCTGCGGCTAAAATGCCTCCTCGCGCTGCAAAACCAGATGCGGGAGCGGAAAACGGGGTCGTCCGCCGGCCGCGGCCCTCGCCCTAGCGTAAGGGTGGTGAGTAAATAATGTCATTGTCTGCCCTCCCTCCCCCCCCCCTCAAAGCGCTGCGTTAAGAGAGTTGGGAGTGAGGATGGGAGGGTGGGGGGGGGAAACAAACTTCGTCTAGGGCCATCCTCTTTCCACCCCCATCTCTGCCTCCGAGGGGAAGCGGGAGGCGCCTCGTTCCGTCGCCACGAAGGGATGGCGGAAGGGACAAGGAGGCGAGAGAGATGGGGAGATACAAGCGCGCAGCCAAATGATGGGTCAAGCCAGCAGCGCCAGCGGCCGATCTAGTCGATGGAATCGCCACCGATCCCCACGCGTGCATCCGTTGTATGCGTGACCTCCCCCCCTTGTTTTTTTTGCTAGAAACCATGAATGGATCGTTGGGGCGGTGAGAGAAATGCAACCCACGATCACGATCGCGACTATGTAGCTAGCTAGCTACGTTGTAGTAGACGGTAGAACGCGTGCCCGTGAAGCGGCGCGGAGGTGTGCATCGGGCCGTGGGCAAGACTATATGGGTCGGTATATATTGCTCTGTACCATGTGGGCCCTCTTCACCCTCGGCGTATTCTAGCTCCCCCCCCTCCCCTAACGGCGGGCGATCTGCCTCTCGGTAATGGTAGAGGAAGTCAAGCGGTGGGGTCGCGCCGGTTGTCCCGGGAGAGAAGATGGATGTTTCGGGTATATTAACGAGGGGCCGATCGGTCATCTGGGGCGCACCCTGCCTTGAGCGGCGCGATGTGCGAAGGCCCCGGCGGATTGGCGCTCTCGCGCGCTCGTATACCTACCACCATGCACATGATGAACGCACATATGGGCGTGGGAGAAGATCTTGGAGAGCGTGTGAGGAGCGGGAGCGGGGTGCCCGACAGATGGGCGGATGCATATATAGACTACCAGATCTCCCGGGCGGGCAGCCGGGATTGGGTGTAGAGAAAGCAATATAATGCCGTACATGACGCCGGCAATTCGTAAATTAACCCCAGCGACGATGCCTGCGTGGCTCTGGGGCGTGGATATACGCCGCTTCTGGGATGCAAGCCCGACGAGAGCGGCTCCTGGCTTTTTTCCCTTTCTCCTCTCGCTTCGTCCCCTCTCTCCCCCGGCGACGCGCGTTGAGATCGGCACGAATGGACTCTCAAAGCACTCGTTATATGGCCACTGAGTTGACAATTAGTTTTCGAATCGGGAAGCGTGCACCCGGAGCCGTGGCCCCGTATTCCTCTTCCGGCAGAAAGGAAAGAGACAGGACGTAGGAATCTAGTAACTTTTTGATCGGCCTAAGCCACGGAACCACCTTGCAACTTACAGCCCACGGGATATGTCGCGGAGCGTGGGGTGCGTGCTCTTTCATCGTGGTCTAATGGCAATGAAGAGTTTCGGGGACCTGTGTGTCGCAGTGTGAAGCAAGCTTAGAGGATAGCTCGTGGACCGGTGCTCGCATCAGACGTCGTTCGCCAAATCCCATATTGAATAGCTTCTCCGCTGCCTCCTCACGAGGACGTTAGCCACCGGTGATACTCGATAGCTCCGAGGCCCTAGTAGAAAACGGAACCATCTATGTTTAATGACGCGCGCGTGTGGAACTGCTTGAAGTAGATATTTGACCCGACCGATTTTGACCTCGTAATCATTTGTGATCAGTTGCCCCTTTAATGACTTGCATGAGGGTATGTGATAGGGGTATCGTTGATTGTACTTAGGCCCTCCCGATTGACGGTGATGACGAGGACGGGTTATAGATCTGAAAAGCGAACCCAGCAAGGCGCCTGGCCTTTTCGGAGAGAATCGTGATCCGCTGAGATCCTTCTAACTTCAGGCCGCCTGAGGTTCGAAAGGGGGTGGTTGGTGAAACTAGTAGTGGTTCGTTGAATCGCACATTACTGATTCCGAGAATTAGGCAATGGTGCCACGTGTCATCGAAATAGCACAACAGGTCGAAGTGAGCACCGACTACTAGTAGTTGAACGTCTTAATGGATTGCCCTGTGCTTTAGCTCGTGGTTGGCCGAATCTCACCTCCCGTGACTGAGGTGGATGAAGTTAGGGCCGAGTTGACGAGGCCTGCTCGCACGAGGTTATGATTCCGGCGAACTCCTAAAGGTACCGTCTACAGGGCGCCATTGTCGGCTCTTAGAGCGGAAACACGGTGAAGAGATTGAGCAGAACCCTGGGCAAGAATCTGTCATTATACCTTAAAAAGTAACAATAAATGTGGTAAGAGAGAGGGAGAGGGAGTTTGTCTGAAGATTTCAGGGCAATGGGATGTTCTCCTGATTATTTTTCAATTACTAATCCAAATCGTGCCCCTCTATATCTGTGGCGATAATGATAAACCAGAAGCTCTGTTGGACTGGCCGAGGGTATAGAATTTGACGTGTTGCTCGAAATGGTCTTTTTCTCTAGAGACCATGGTTAAGGCATAGGGATATATGCCCTCTTAGGTGCCGACTCAGCTATTAGCAACGCGCTGCGACGGCATTTGTGAAACTCGAGGGTGATAGCTCGCGGGTGGGAGGACCACCGGGGAGACGTTTGATTTGGTAGGAAATGAGCTCCGATGAGTGGTGGGTCGTGCCTCTTCGAATTAACCTCTGGTTTTCCTCCTTTTGCTGCTGGCTCGTGTCGTCTTGATAGATGATTCCGTTTTCACCTTGACCGTTTCCACCACGGAAACTGTGCGCCTCTTGCGAGACCGAGGAGTAGGCTCGCTGCTGCTAGTCTCCTCTGCAACTTCTTTGGCCTCGACTTTGATATCTACTACCTCCGTCTTGCCGGATGCCTGCTCTGAGAACGACTTGAGGTTTGCGGTGAAGAGCACAGACTGGGCCCATCCCGCCTGTTGGCCCCATATCTTTCTGAAGTGATCACCGACAGAATCATACATGGCCTTGGAAAAGGTCTTCGTCTTGACTTTGCCAAACTTGTAATCTCTCTGCGCAATCTGCCACACATGGGTGTCTACGGGGACGGCTTCTCCCCAGCCCAGACCCATAAGACAGACGCAATCGGCAACTTTGGGTCCGACGCCAGAGAGGAGGAGGAGCTGTTCATGGGCGTGCTTGTAAGTGGGTGGGTCGGCGGAATTGGCAGCTTCCGTCGTGCCCCAGCTGGGGTTTTCCGGGTTTGTGAGGCTCTCCAGCCACCCGGCCGGTTTTTCCTGAGAAACTAGGCGGGAAGTTTCCGCAATGTACTTGGCTCTGTAGCCGAATCCTAGTTCTCTAAGATGGGCTTCGACCTCCTTGCCGGTTAGAGCCTGCGGGGTCGGAAAATCGTGAAATGCTTCTTCTCCAATGTGTCCAACCAAGGAGCCGTAATGTTTACATAGTTTATGAACCTGTGGGATGTCAGCGCGCCGGAGCTCCCTAGCAAGAGCGCGTCCGCTCTGTCTTGACATTCAAGCGTACCATCTGAGAGATCCGTGAAATGTTGTTATTGCTGCTGCAGATAAAGGCAACTAGCGCTTCCCACGGGTCCTGGCTCAGTATACGGATACCCGTAAACTTTGGGGCCTTTTTCCGGAAATTGGGATCAGACTTAGACCACTGATCGTAGAGTGCCGCCGCTGTGGTCATGCGTAAGAAATTATGAAGCGTAAGACAATCAATTGACCCCGAGGGTGTGCGCGATAGCCTGATGGGAGGAGGGATTATCGGACCATGGAGTTTGCGTACAGTCATGTCTTAGGCTGAAATAATGTCTGAGGAGTGCCTCGGTATTGTCACGCTCGGCCGACTCATCAGGTTCAATTTTGACAGGCGACGACGGGGTGGGTAAGCCTGGCGGAGTCGCTGGCGGAGCGACTCGGTAGTGAAGATGATCCTTATCCTGCTTTAGGGACAGCAGCCGGCCGTGGAGGACACAATTCCTGATAGTAACCGTCAATGTCTACGGAGGCGACAGAATGCGAGAGCCAGTATCTACCATTCGTCATCTATCTTCAGCCATCGAAAAGTCTGGCCGCAGCGAAGGGTGGTCTCGATGCAGAGGTCCGCCAAGCTCAGGGGGAGCTTTCGCCACTCCGATGCTCGAATAGGAGACATGGGACGAAGCGTGGACTTGGAGGGGTTGGTTGGTAGGTAACGGCTCGCGGGGGATGTGAATGAGCAAAAAAAGAAGGAAAAAGGCTTTTTCAGATTGCAAAAACAACATTCGACATATGCCGTCGTACTTGTCCTCGTCGTATGAGGGTGATGCGATGGTGAGAGACGGCGAGAAGGGAGAGCATGTGTATGGGAAGTGGTGGGATACCGGAGACGGGTACCTCATGTTCGATGCTCGATGCCCCGATAGGTACTTATCCAGTATCTAGACGGGTTTCCGTGTCGCGACTTGCCGTGCCGCGCTTGGAAGTACCAAAGTACCGAAGTACCCGGCAACCCTAGGAGGCATCTAGCGCGCATCGTGAGTGGCCCAAAAGGGAAAGTGGGACCACCAACGACCAATACGTACACGCTAACGTCCATCGGGACTAGCTCCAGACGCACGGTGCCACTCGGAGGCTGCCCTGCCCTTACCGTAAGTCGAGGCCCGGCAAGGAACCTACCAAAATTTCTATTTTCCAGCCTCGTCGCAGCTCCACTGTCAACAGTTCCGACATACCTCGCAACCTCAGTTGAGCTCGACGTATCCTTTTTCTATCCTTTTCTCCCCCTTTCCTCCATTCCGTCTCAAGGCCGCCTCTGGGTTGATCGGCCTCAGACTCTCCTCTCCTACTCTATCCCTGCACACGAGGGCAAATTGGCACCATGAACGGCGATAGCTACTCCTCGCGAGGTAAGCGAATCTTCCTCCGTCCCGGTCTCTCTGTCTTCCATCATCATTTTGGTAGGCAGAGCAGTGTGGCTAATTGAACGTATCTATAGATGGCCGTCATGGCTCATCTCGTGACTACCCCCGCGACGATCGGCGAGACCGAGATCGAGGAGACCGGGGAGATCGAGGGGATCGAGGGGATCGACGCGAACGAAGGCGTAGCAGGTCGCCGCGTCGGTCGCACCGCGAGGGGAGGGATGAAGACGCCTATGCCTCCAGCCGCAGCCATCGAGATCGCGAGCGCGAGGATCGGTATGGCGGTGGAGGTGTTGGCGGCGCTGGCGCTGGCGGTGGGGGCGGTGGTGGAGGCAGCGGTGGAGGTGGGGGCGGTGGCAGAGACCGTCGAGACAGGGAATGGGACCGCGACCGGGGCTCGAGAAGGGACGTTCGTCGCGACGAAGGTGGCAGGCCGCCTAGACGCGATCGCGACTTATTCGAGGATCGACGTGGCGAACGACGAGATCGCGGTGATAGGAGTGAACGGAACCGGGACGATGACCTTTTCGCGCAGAATCGACGGGGCCGGAGCCTCACACCGCCCCCTAAGAAGCGGGAGCCGACTCCAGACCTGACCGATGTCGTCCCTGTCTTGGAGCGCAAGAGGCGGATGACGCAGTGGGATATCAAGCCCCCCGGTTACGAGAATGTCACTGCCGAGCAGGCCAAGCTGTCTGGCATGTTCCCTCTGCCGGGCGCCCCCCGGCAGCAGCCCATGGATCCGACGAAGCTTCAGGCTTTCATGAATCAGCCAGGCGGCACCGCCAGCAACGCAACGCTGAAGCCCGGGAATTCCCGACAGAGCAAGAGGCTTCTGGTCTACAATATCCCTCCTGGCTCGACCGAGGAAAGCCTCATGAGCTTCTTCAACCTGCAGTTGAACGGATTGAACGTCATCGAGAGCACCGACCCCTGCGTATTAAGCCAGATTTCTCAAGACGGATCGTTTGCTCTTCTGGAGTTTAGGCATGCCTCGGAGGCTACCGTGGCCCTCGCTCTGGACGGTATCTCGGTGGAACCCGAGGACGCCGCTGACGGTGCCCCCAACGGTACCGAGCAGGGTCTGAAGATTCAGCGACCGAAGGATTACATCGTGCCAGCTATTGCCGACGAGACCCTGTACGAACCCGGTGTCGTGTCAAAAGTAGTTATCGATACGCCAAACAAGATCAGCCTCGCCAATCTACCGTCTTACCTCACCGAAGAACAAGTTACGGAGCTCCTGGTATCTTTCGGAGAGCTCAAGGCGTTGGTCCTAGTCACAGACGAAGGCACCGATGAATCCCGCGTAAGTTGATGCCACTCCCATCACGAATGAACCCGAACTTGCTTTGAAGCATTCGAGGCTAACGTCTTGCAGGGCATTGCGTTCTGTGAATTTGTCGATCCCAGCGCAACGGAAATCGCGATTCAGGGTCTGAACGGGATGGTCATCGGCGATAAGAGTCTCAAGGTCCGAAAGGCTAGCATCGGCATCACCCAAGTAGCCGGTATCGAGATGGGCGTAAATGCCATGTCAATGCTCGCAGGGACTACCGCTAGCGACTCGGAGGAGACCCGTGTCTTACAACTGCTCAACATGGTAACTCCCGAGGAATTGACGGACAACGATGATTATGCAGGTGGGTTTACCTTCTCGGCACCTCATCTGACCGCAGCTGCTAACTTTTATTAGAAATCTGCGAAGATGTCCAGGAAGAGTGCTCCAAGTTCGGCCAGATTTTGGGGCTTAAGGTGCCTCGGCCTTCGGGAGGCAGCCGGCAATCCGCCGGAGTCGGCAAGATATTTGTCAAATTTGACACGGCGGCGTCAGCGAAGAAGGCGCTGCAAGCGCTTGCGGGCCGCAAGTTTGCGGACAGGACGGTGGTGACGACGTACTTCCCAGAGGTGAGATTGTGTCCGTTCCGCCCCCGAATACATCTATACTAACCCGCGACCCAGGAGAATTTCGAGGTGGGAGCGTGGTAGTAGAAAGGATTACGAATGCTTTCCCTTCGTCGTTGAGGACGGCTGCGTGCTGCGACGATTTGCGGGTAGGTCGGGCAGAAGGCAATAGGACCAAAAAAAACTTGCGAGATGCAATTTGTACAACAATGGTGTGCGGCGGGAGAGGCGGACCGCTACTAATGAGGCAAGTTCACAGCGCTCATCGGGACTTGGCGCCGCCAGATACGTCTGCTCCAGGACGACATAATAATAGCCGTTCGCATAGGGACTAACCTGCAGAATTCCCGCTATGCCTAGTCCAGCCGGCTTCTTTTCTTTTCTCTCTTCTTTTTTATGTCCTTGACCAAGTAGGCATGGTTGAACCGGACGAACCGTGATGGCCGAGTTGCCCGTAAACAAAACCTACCTGGATGCCAGATGGTCTGCCCGAAATAGGCACAAGATCAGCTCGTTGCTACCCCTAACCATCCATCCCGAGCTAAGCTGGGCCCTCGCCTGGCTCGACTTCGGCGCAGTTCATCCGGCTTTCTCGACGCTCCGGCGTATTATTATAGTCTGTGCTTGTCGATTCCGATATGGACGTGTGCAAGGCTTCGATGAGAATCGCCGACAGCTGACATATATCTAGATATATACGTATGTATGGGCAAGCCATGTGCCGTAGACTGATGGATTCACCAATAAAACAGGCCTGTCAAATAGCTAGACTATTACGTAAAGTCTTGCTCGCGATATTTGCCTAGGGTTACCAGTCCTATTTTCGCGCTAACTCTCCCCTAACAGCCATCAGGAATAGCCACTCCCAGGCATCTTAAGGGGTTCGCCGATCGACAAATCACTTTGCTGACCAGCAGACATCTTTGGCTGCTGCGTTCTCTCCGCCCTACCGAACTCCCTCCCCCCCCTCCTCCGAGCGAGCATGGATGTCGACGCCAATATGGCGGGGCCCCGTCTGCCTCTGGTGACGTATCTGGCGACGGACATCAACGCGGTGACGAGCTCGACGGAGGCGACGAAAGCCACGTTCCTCGCCCGTGCCGGCCAGGGAACTCTCCCTCGCGAGGTGCTCAGCCAATGGCTGTCACAGGACCGGCTCTACGCCCAGGCTTATGTCAGATTCGCGGGGGGACTGATATCACGGGTGCAGCTGCCGACAGCATTGGACGACGGCGACGAGGCGCGCGAGCTGCAGTGGCGCATTCTCGATCTGCTGCAGGACGCCCTCGCGGGTGTCACACGCGAACTGCGCTTCTTCGAGGAGACGGCGAAGGCGTACGGGCTAGACCTCGCGGCGGCGGGAGGGGCGTCCGGCTTCGCCCCTGCCACAGCGACGCAAGGCTACATCGACCTGTTCGACTCGTTCGCGGCACGGCCGAGGGCGGGGCCGGCGCGGACGCTGCTCGAGGGGCTCGTGGTGCTCTGGGCGACGGAGCGGACCTACCTGGACTCGTGGGGGTACGCACGGGACCAGACGGCGACGGAGGCGGCGGACCTCGACGGTGGCGCGCTGCGCCAGGCCTTCATCCCCAACTGGACGTCGGACGAGTTCCGCACCTTCGTCCGGGAGTGCGAAGAGTGCCTCGACGCCTACGCCAAGGCCCAGGGCGTCCACTCCCAGGCCCCCACCGCCCCCGCCTACCTAGCCCTCTACAAGCAGGTCTTGGATCTCGAGAAGGCATTCTGGCCCGTCCTAGAGTGAAGATGGGAGGGAATTACACGAAAATGTAGGAGATAAAAAGACGTCGTGTGTACATGCATATAGATTTACCCTATTCTTGAAGTCTACGGAAGCCTCCCCCGCTCTCCCCCAACTCTCTCCCGCACGTGAATGGCAACCGCCAATTGGCAGGACAATCAAGAAGAGCTCCGGCTCTCTCATGGTGTACCTATTGCGAATGTGTCAAGGGCCCTATCTTTCTAGACATGTTTTTTTTTTTGCTGCATCGCCCGACGAGCAACGGTTGCATATACGTGAATACTTGATATAGGCACTAAGCCTAGGCACCTCGGAAATTTCATGGTCGTTCGTTCGCGGAAAGAAGGCACTTTTTATACCTAGAGACCGACTGCCTCAGTCGGTTGAGAGAGGGCCGATGATTAGGTAAAGATGATGATGTGGCTTGAAGACACACCGACCTGTAGGTACCTAGGTACCTATAGCCAATGAGGAAGAAAGATGGGGGTGCTTCTTATCTAGTTATCGGGGCTGTTGAACTCGCTTAATCCCATCTGTGTGTGGGGGTTAGTTACATAATATGTGTCCCGCTTCCCCACATTTACAAAATAACACGGCGGCCACGGTTGTCAGGGAAACGGCAGGCGCTACGTTCAAAGCAGTCAACAAAGTGACCGGAGCGGCCCAGCCTATGCCCTGTCGGCTGTCTATTTGGGAGTGGGCTGCTCGCTACTCCACCCACGCCCAGTCATCGTGGCATTTTAACGAACTCGTCCACTTCCACCACCGGCACAATTAACATTCTAGGTCTCTTCACCTGAGGGCCGCCGTTGTCGCCGTAGCCGCCATCATCGTCACCGCTGGCCGCTCTGCACTTGCTCGCTGAAAATGGCTGCCGGCGATCTCATCGATTTCGACATCATCGAGGGGCAGAAGGAGAACATCCAGTCCTTGCCCGGCGGGCGATCAGCAAAGAAACTGGCCCAAGTTTTCTCTCCGTCTCCTCTGCACAAGCTCTCGACACCCACGCCCGCTGACACCAAAAACGTCAACGACTGCATCCGGGCCGAGTACGAGGAAGAGATCGCCAACATTTCCGAGTCAGACGATCCCCTCGACGTGTACGACCGATACGTGCGATGGACCTTTGACGCGTACCCCTCGGCGCAGGCCACTCCCCAGTCGCAACTACACACGCTACTTGAGCGCGCCACCAAGGCCTTCGTCGGCTCCGCACAGTACAAGAACGATCCCAGATACCTCAAGCTGTGGCTCCACTACATCAGATTCTTCGCCGACTCGCCTCGGGAAACCTACGTCTTCCTGTCGCGTCACAACATCGGCGAGGGCCTCGCACTATTCTACGAGGAGTACGCCGCTTGGTTGGAGAGTGCCAGCCGCTGGGCGCAGGCTGAGGAGGTGTACAAGCTGGGCATCGAGCGCGATGCCCGACCGGTTTCGCGACTGCTACGCAAGTTTGGCGAGTTCGAGCAGAGGCGCGAACAGCAGCCTGCCGGAGCCGACGCCCCCGCATCGCCGGCGCTCCCTATCGCCCGACCGGCATTGGCTGCCAAGATCGATCCGTTCGGAGCCACGGCGCGAGCACCAGCAGATCCTCAAGCTCCGAGGCCGAACAACGGTCTCGGCGGCGGCCAGTCCTCTTCGAAACCCGGCAAAGCTAAGCTTGCCGTCTTCTCGGATGCGACAGGCTCCGACGGCGGCGGAAGCGCCATGTCTTCGATGGGGGAGGGCGCAAAGGGTTGGGATACTATCGGGTCGCTGGCGGATCGCAGGAAGGAAAACGTGATGGAGGCGAAGCCTTGGGCAGGGGAGACGTTGGCAACTTCGGTCAAGAAGAGCAATGGTCCGAAGATGTCTATATTCCGGGACCCCGTAAGTCAATAGTTCCCGTCTCCCAGCGGCAATGTCCATTGTTGATCATGGCAGGACTAATTCGTGGCGATTGTGCAATTGTGTATCTCAGTCCTTGGCCAGAATAGCAGAATCTCATATTGTCATTGCCCCATCCAAGCACCAAGTAATTGTAAACCCGCAGAATGGGAAGAGAGAGCGCGTCTTCGTCAACTTAGAGGCTGTCTATCCGACCCCGGAGGAACCGGGGACTGAGCTCAGCTTCGAAGAGATCTGGGCCGCAAGCCGAGGTTGGCTCGACGTATGCTGGGAAGACGAGGGTGCCGTCGGAGAACAGCCAGAACCCGCGGGTCTGCCCTCACCAGCCGTGAAGCTGCTCAACAGCCGAGTAGCCGAGAAGCTGGTGATACACCACGACGCGGCGGAATTTGACGAAAACGGCGCGGTCAAGGACCGTCCTAAGCCTAGCAAGAGCAAGAAGAAGAAGGTGATGGAGGTCAACGAGACCCAAATTAGTGAGTTTGCTCCCCTTCCCTCGGGGTCCATCCAGCTACATCTTCTATCGGCGAGCGTTGACCAATAACTTTTGAACCATCTCACTAATCCCTTTTCCTACTCAATAGTCAAGGCCAAGTTAGACTCGCCATCCGGCCCCAAAATCAAGAAAAAGAATACCAACTCCGCTTCGGAGCCCACCATGACGATGCATACCAGAGCCGCCACTGATGAGATATACGACATCTTCAACGCGCCTCTCAAGTCTGCCGAAGAACAAGACGGCGAAAGTGACGAAGAGTATATGACGGACGGTGATTACACTAGCGGTGGCGAGAGCACCGGTACTACAAGACGGATCTCGACAAGCGAGGCCGGCGATGATGAGGAAGAGGATGAGGCGTCGGATGCCAAGAGTGAGAGCGAGTGGTCAGATTTCACAGCACAGAAGCACATCCCTCGAATCAGTGGCGAGACCGATAACGAGGACGAAAACGACGAAGAGGGAAACTACGACGAGCAAAATGACCCTGACGTGTCGGATCTCATCGATACTCGGGGTCCGGAAGAGGATGCAGATACCGACGATCACGAAGAGGACTCTTCCCCCAGAACCAGGTTCATTCCGATACCGCCCGAAGACTACCAGGCGCCTACTCGACCGTATAGGGACCCGGCCGAGGTGGCTAACAACCGCCTGCCGTTCATGACACCTATCACGGAGCGCACCGAATCGTCGCTCGGCCTCGTCACGGGGGCCAAGCCGCAGTACTTCGATACCAGGAACCCCCGGGGCAACGACACGCTGAGCATACAGGTCGAGGAGGAAGGCGAGGATAACGAAGACTTCGAGCCCCTGAGCAGCCCGCTCCGGGAGGTCCTCAGCAACTCGCGCGCCTCGCCGCCACTCAAGATCGCGCAGCCCCTGCTCCCGAAGCCGGCGGCCACCAAGGCGGCGGCGGCCGTAGTCGCTTCCGGTGGCGCCGCCGGCACCTTCCCGGGCCGGGCGCAGCGGAAGGCGCCGCTGGCGCTGGCACCGGCACCGAAGGGCCCCATCATCACGGACGCTCAGTGCAACCCGGTCGACGCGGCGGTGCGCGAGGCGATCCTGGCGCGCGCGCACCCGCCGCTCGAGTCGCAGCGCGGCTTCTTCGACCACCGAGGCGAGCGGTTCGAGCGCGGGGGCGAGATCCGGCGGTTCGCGCGGGCAGCCGCCGCGGCGGGGGGGGCGGGTGTCGGGGCGGCCCCCGTCGTCCTCGAGTTCCCCGAGCTCGCCGGCGCGCGCACCTACACGATCCGGCGCGAGCTGGGCGCGGGCGCCTTCGCGCCGGTGTACCTGGCGGAGAACTCGGCGCCGGACCTGGACTCGGAGGAGGAGGAGGAGGAGGAGGAGGAGGGAGAAGAAGGAGGAGGGGAGGGCGGCGAGGAAAACGACGAGAACCGGGCGCCGCGGTCGCGGATGGGGCGCGGGGCGTTCGCGGGGCCGGGGGCGCGCGCGGGGCGGCGCGCGCGGCTCGAGGCGGTCAAGATGGAGCAGCCGCCGTCGGCGTGGGAGTTCCACATGATGCGGCTGGCGGCGGCGCGGCTGGGGGCGGGGGACCGGGCGGCGGCGTCGGTGTCGGCGGCGCACGAGCTGCACCTGTACGCGGACGAGGGGTTCCTGGTGCTGCCGTACCACGGGCACGGGACGCTGCTGGACGTGGTGAACTTCTTCCGGGGGGAGCAGGCGTCGGGGGTGATGGACGAGGCGCTGGCGGTCTTCTTCGCGATCGAGCTGCTGCGGACGGTGGAGGCGCTGCACGCGCGGGGGCTGATGCACGGGGACCTGAAGGTGGACAACTGCCTACTGCGGCTGGACGGGGCGGGGCGGGGGCAGGAGCTGGCGAGCCAGTGGCGCGCGGACGGCTCCGGCGGCTGGGCCGGGCGCGGCGTGGTGCTGATCGACTTCGGGCGCGGCGTCGACATGCGGGCGTTCGGCGCGGCGACGCAGTTCGTGGCGGACTGGCGCACGGGCGCGCACGACTGCGCCGAGATGCGCGAGGGCCGCCCCTGGACCTGGCAGATGGACTACCACGGGCTGGCGGGGACGCTGCACACGCTGCTGTTCGGCAAGTACATCGAGACGGTGCGCGCGGACGACGGCCGCGCGGCGCTGCCCGGCACCGCCGCCGCCGCCGCCGCCGCCCGCCGCTACAAGCTCCGCGACGCCCTCAAGCGCTACTGGCAGACCGACATCTGGGCCGACTGCTTCGACCTCCTCCTCAACCCCGCCGCCCACGCCGCCGCCGAGGACGGCGGCCGCCTCCCCGCCCTCCGCGGCATGCGCCGCGTCCGCGCCCGCATGGAGGCCTGGCTCGAGGCCAACTGCGAGAAGGGCGTCGGCCTGCGCGGCCTCATGGCCCGCGTCGAAGCCATGGCGGCAGCGCGCGCGCGGAAGCACTGAGGCGGTGACGGCCTCCTCCTTTTTTCCTTTCTCTCCCTTTTTCTTCTCTCTCTTAGAAGAGTCTCCTCGGCCTTGCTCTGCGCAGCCGGCCCCGGCTTAATACTGACCGCGCGCCCCGGCTTCTTCTCCGGACGCGGGCGAGGAACGCGGCGCTGGCCGCAGTCTACGTTAGGCTCGACGCGGGGCAGGCTGGGCGGAGATAGGGCCGGCGGAGGAGCGGCGAGGCAGAATGATGGTAATGAGCGGACGAACCGAAGAGAAAGCGGGTCCGGGTAGGGGGCGTTGGGGTGTCAAGAAAAAGGGGGCCGGAGCCAGGGAGTGAGAAAGAAAGATGGGCGCCAGGGCCGCATGCACATCCCACATACATATTGTGCGTACACGCGGCCGCGACACCGTTGCATTTGTACTTCACATAGAGATCGCGGTGGCTTTTTTTTTTTTTGGTATCTTCAGCAGCTAGACTTAATTGCTTCTCGCGTTCGCATACCCATGGAAAAACACTTTTGCCTCACTCTCCTCTTCTTTCGTCCCGTCCGACGTCGACCCGATACACACGCCGTTCACCATCGTGAGAGAGAATACTGGACCTGCCCTTCACGGGTCTAGCGATGGTGTCTTGCTGCCACTGCTACTAGCCGTACAATGCTAGCTACCAGCGCAGATACCCTTCTAGCCATCGCCGTCCTCGGCCTCGTCCTCAGGAGGACGCCTTCTTCCTGCGCCGTGCCTTCGCCGCCTTCTTCTTATCGGCGGCGGCCTTTGCCTTGACCTCTGCGGCGAGGGCATTGTGGGCCTTGAGGACGGCCTCCTCCTGGATCCTGTCGCGCTCGGCGCGGCCGGGGGCGGAGAGGTCGGCCTCGAGGGCGGCGAACTCAGCGCTGTCGGGGTCCATGCCGATGAGGCGCTCGAGCAGCTTGATCTCGTCGGCCCAGACCTGCTTGTCCTCGAAGGTCTTGCCGTCGGGCGTCTTGCGGTCGATGGGCGTCTCGAGGATCATGGGCAGGCCCGCGAAGCCGTCGTAGTTGACGACGTTGTGGAACGCCCGCAGGCCTAGGAACCCGGTCCCGATGTTGGCGTGCAGGTCCCGCTGCGAGCCCAGCGGGCGCTTGCTGTCGTTGAGGTGCAGCGCCTTCAGGTACCGCGCCCCCACGACCTTGTTGAACTGCTTCATCGTCTCTTGGAAGGCTTCCGGCGAACGCAGGTCGTAGCCTGCGGCGAAGGCGTGGCACTGTAGCGCGCAGCGTTAATATCGGGTCGCTCAGAGGACCGTTGTGATGGGAGGTGGTGCGCTGAGAGAGGAAGGAACACCGCGCGAGGGAGGAAATGTACTTACGGTGTCTATGCAAACGCCAATCCGGTCCTTGTTCTTTATGAGACGGATGATATCCCGTAGGTCCTCGAACGTGGCGCCGATGACAGTGCCCTGGCCGGCCATGTTCTCCAGCACCGTTACCACGGTCTTGGTGGCCTTGTGGGCGTTGTTGATCTTCTTGGCGATGCGCCAGATAGCCTCCACTCTAGGCCCTCCATTCGCGCTTCCGGGGTGGAAATTGTACAGCTTGATGCCGAGCGATTCACAGCGCTCTAGGTCGTCGAGGAACGAGGTGTAGGCCTGGGCCGCCTTGGTCTTGTCGGCCTGGGCTAGGTTGATGAGGTAGGAGCCGTGGGGGAGGCAATGCTTGTGGACGTCGTACTTGTGCTCGTGAGATAGGGTGCGGAAGCCGTCGAGCGCATCTTTCGCCAGAGGAGGATTTGTCCACTTGCGCTGGGACTTGAGGAACAACGCGAACGCATTTGCGCCGATGTGCACGGCGTTTGGGATCGAGCTTTGCACGCCTGGAGAGGGGGAGAACGGTTAGCTAGAAGGGAGGCCGGGAGGTCGAGTAAGGAAGGATAGCTGAGGGCTCTTCTGACGAACCTCCTGCAGCGCTCACGTGCGCTCCGATATACATGAGCTTCTTGAGCGCATCGATTGGAGTGCGCGGGGCGAGAGCCATGGCGTCTTGAGACTTGCCCTTACCAGCTTTGCGCTGCGGCTTTCTGGCTGGGGGTTGGTCGGCTGCAGGCTCTTCTTCCTCTTCCTCCTCCTCGGCTTTGACTCGGGTCTTTCGTCTCTTGGTAGGCTTGGACTCCTCTTCGATCTCTTCGGGCTCTTCGATGCCGTCTAGTTCATCGTTAGCCTTGCGCTTCGTAACGCTAGCCTTCGCTGCGCCGTCGGCCGGCTCGCCGCCCTCCGCCTTTCCCGGCTTCCGGAGAGAGGGACGAGGCATGGCGAATGGCTGTGCTGCTTCGGAAGGCAGAGTTCGATATAATTTGCTAGGTATAAAGAGGGGTTTGATCTTGAGGCCTTTACGTTTTTTTTTTTTCCTTTACCAAACTATGGTATTGGCTCGGGGACGAGATAGTAGCATGTATGGGGATATGTCCCTACGTTGGCGTACGATGGAATAAATGAGGAACGTATCGGCTGGGGGTGACGCGGCGCGCGCTGGAATGCGAAACGTGACGAGCGGGAGCCACGTGATACAATTAAATTTGGGGTTCTTAACGATACTGCTGAATTCTTGAGTAAGATAGGTAGATAATTTGTACCTATTGAGGAGGCAGGCGGGGTTGTTATTCGCACGTACCTGCGCCTGGTCTACCCGAGCAAAGTCTTCTCTGGCTCTGTCTACCAGTAAGTGCATGATGCCGAGTGATGAATGTGATATTCAGATAGCCGTACTGTACCTACCTACCCAGGTACCTAGGTACTTGAGGCTAATGGACACGCGCCTCTTAAATCAAGTTATTGTGCGCGCTAGTATCAATGGTCCCCCTCTACCTACGTCTCGAGAGGCACCTAATGACAGAAGACGAGTCCTTGCGCGAGAAAACAAGCCCCCTCCCGGCGAGGAAAGATGCCGTCAGATTTTTTGCTTCCTACGGTACAATTTCTGTCTCGCCTGATCATGTCGTCTTGTTCCCGCCGGCTAGAGCTACTAGTGCTGGAGGTGGGCATAAGCGGGTATGGTACACTTTGTTAGTTTCCTACTAAGCTTTCCTTGGGCCTCCGGTGTCCAACTTGGCTACAGTTGGAGGGGCGCCTTAATTTAACGTGGGCACGTTAGGTGCTCTGTTTGCGCGATAGTGCTCGTGGTAGAGATTGCGCTGACGTATAGCGCCTAGGTAGAAACTAATCTATCCGAACCGGCGATAGTTCTCCTCCTGTCGAGTACCTAACACAGTAAACGACGTGGGTACCTCCTAATCTTGATTAGGCGTACATGGAAACGAGACGGGCGTCGCCCTCTCACAGTTGTAAAGCCGACGGCCCGATACCGACCTACTCTGTCGGTCCCTTGCTCTTGGGCAAAGAGAAGGCGGTTGGTAGAAGATGGGATAGCGGAGGGTTACATTCATAGGTACCTACATGTGCGTATCTATATTATTATGCTCATCATCACACGAATAAGGCCGCCAACAAGAGACACGCCCGTCTTCCGAAACTGACTCTGGATGGTGTGCTCTGACGGAGACAAGCTGACGCGCAGCTGGTGTCATTCGACGAGATGGATAGGCATAACTCCGACACGCCGTCCATGCGAATCAGCAGTCGAGGAACCAGCACCGGGGGGGGACCGGCCAAACCCACTCGGCCGCTCTCCCTCGCAGTTCTTTTTTTGGTCTCTCTTCGCCCATGGCCGTCCGCAGGTATTCCCGGTCCAAACAAGCCCCGCGCGGTGCTCTTGTTGTTTGTTTTACGTGCGGAGATCGGTAGTTTATTATTAGAAGACACGGACACCTCGCGTGTTTCAGTCGTGTTCTGTACTGCGATCTGTGGCGGGGTTGGACTTGGACTTACACGCAGCGACGCTCGGCAGCGTCGCCCGTGCGCCGGCCACGGCGGCAGGCGACGAAAAGCGCAAGAGATCACACGACCACTTGCGCATTCGGGCCAAGTGCGCGCTGGCCTCGAACCCGCCGAGGGCGAGGGCTGGCTCTGCCCAGGTGCCGAGACAAGCGGGCTGCCGTCGTCGTCGCATCGCGAGATGCCAGTGCAGCACCGAGGACGATCAGGAAAGCTTAGCGATTATCGAGCTGCGGCCAGGCGGCGCCCGCTCGAGGAAACGCCCATCGGCCAACCAGCGGCCAGCGGGCCTGGACAAATCCTGCCCGTACCGCCCGAGCTGGCTGCGTGCTACATGTACCACAGTTGTACATATGCATGGACATGCATGGCACTTGTCTAGCGTGACATGCGGCCGTACTAGGTAGGTACCTCTCCGCACAACCCCTCTGTTCTCCCACGTCGCCTTCGGTCTCTCTTTTCGACCCAGACGTACCCGCGCCCGCCCGGATGCTAGGCGCTGGTACTTGCGGCGGCTTCGACAGGAACCCAAGCTGCAGTAGCGTGTCCCCGGGGTCTCTGCCCAATCACCTGGCCTGGGTTGGGAACGTGGTGCGACGGCGGTCTCTGATTGGGCTGCTGTCCTTGCCGGCTCGGGAAGGGACTGCGGGGCTTTTCTGTCTCCCGCGACCCTCTTTTTTTTCCATTATGCGGCTCGCACGGTTACGTCAACGGGAAAGCACCGCGTCACGATACCAACTTCCCAATCGGGACTTTGTCGTGTGGGAATTCTCCCTCTGCGTCCGCTTCTGCTTGCAACCGTGCTTCCTCCACCCTACCTGTCCGTCTTGCACTGTCTCATAGAACCCCGCCGGGGCATACCTACCTAGGTACCTACCTAGGTACCTACCTATATCCTATTTTCGGCGTTAGGTACCGCGTCTGAATCGTATGCGTCGTTTTCACGTCGCGATCGGCATCTGGGCTCTTTGTGAAACTCGTCCGAGCCGGATGGGAACACGGCTCCTCCCTGTGGCCTCCGAGCCTGGTTTGTGCCCCCGCCGTGCCTGGGGACCTGCCCGTCGCGACATGGCCTCCCGCCCCATCGACGAGTGTGGAGGAAGAGCGGTATACGCCGTCCGCCCTCGCGGATATGCGGTGGTACGGTAGCAATGTCCTGGAAGGCAGGCAGTTCGAGACCGGGCCCGGAATGCCCCCGTAGTGTTGTTCTGATTTCCCCGCCTGTCTTTCCCTATGGGCATGTGAGCGTACGCTTCGAGGTCGGCCGCCGAAGGGGGGTTCGTGACCTCGCGAGAGAGACGTCCGTCCCCGAGGTGAACGTGCGTCCTGCTGGCTGGAGGTACACATGGCAACCTTAGGCTAGGTAGGTACATGGGGTGGATCTGCACGCATGTACCTCGCTGCGGATGTAGGGAAGAGGTAGGTAGGTAAGTAGCAGCAGCCCCCTCTCGTTATAATACCTAGCCAAATCCCCTCCCTGTCCCCCTCCCCGTCTGCGGAGCAACTTCCCAGCGGACAATGCATGCGTAGGAGGTAGCTGCCCTAGTCGGGCGTACTCCCATGTACAACTCCAGATCCTGGGAAGGGAGGGGTGGGTAGCTCTGGAGAGTAGGTACCTGCCTGCCTAGGTACCTCTTCATTGATCTGTTATGTAGAGGTAGGTGCCCGTAGTCTTGATTGAATCTGTTATGTAGGTACCCGTAGGTATGATGTGTACGACGCATATACCTACCTCTAGCCCTAGGGACTCGAGTCTGCACGCTGCGGTGCGTCCAGGGAGCGCAGCTAAGGCCCCGCGAGATGCGGTTTCTGAGCTCTCCCGGACGCTTACATGGAAACATCACACCCCACCTATACACAGGTATATATATATGTATATATATATATATATATATACCTGCTAATGCCACTACTGCGTCTTCTCCTCCTCCTCGCTATTTTCTGCCTACAGCTGCTCTTTTCCTCCACACTTAATTCTGTATAAGCCGACATGCCTGGCCAAACCATCTAGCTTGCTTCTTCGAAGCGTCCTATCTCCCCTACCCGCTAGCCACCGCCGACTGTCCATCTTACAGCTCTCTTCTCCTCGGTCCTTTTCTTATACCCAGGCACGCAATACCGGGGGAATCCTGCCAGTCGTCCCCCTCTCCCTGCGCTAGCGTCCGCTGAGACAACAGAATACACTTTGCCCTAAGAGTCCCCGACTCTCTGAGGGTTGAGACGACGCCACGTAACGCTGCAGACCTGGCAAATCTCACCCAGGAACTTTGATTGGACTTTTGTTTAGCCGTCCGAATCTCTCATTCCTGTTCCTAGTTCCTCCCATCCCTTCGTTGCCATCAGCCGCACCTCTTTCCCTCCCGTGCCCCCGAGCTACCCGTCTTCTCTCTCAAAGATGGCAAAGTTCCTCCGCCGCCACCATGAACACGATCCTCCCATAGGGGAAATCCCTGTCCCCCACGGCCCCGTAACCGGCGAGGAGCATCAGCACTACCCACGAAGAGGTTCAACTAGCCACGCCACCGACTATGAGAAGCAGATCTTCGCTCACCTGACGCGCCCCGAGGATTCCTACACTCCCGACGGCGTCTACTGGGCCGACTTGCCCTTCTGGAAGCGCTTGTCCTTCGTCAGCAAAGTCGACCGAGCCGAGACGTCGTCCGAAGTGCAGGGTATCTGGGCCATGATCAAAAACGACCCCCTCAGCCCGGTTTCCTGGTACTTTAGAAACGCCGTGCTTCCCGGTGCCGGCTTGGGTTTGGAAGGCTACGTTCTCTTCTCCATCGGGAACCTAGAGCCCTTGTTCAGTGCTGCGTGGGGATCATGCTGGGGCAAGAGTGCCACCGAATGCAGCAAGAATTGGGTCGCGGCCGTGACCTATCTCGAAATTATCGGCATCATGGTTGGCCAGGTGGCTGTCGGAGTAATTATGCCCCCCCTCCCTTAGTGAGATGGGAAATTTGATCGCGTTGCTGACGGGAAGTTCGACTAGATCATCGGCGACTGGATCGGCCGACGGTGGGGTTTAATCCAGGACGCCTTGGTCATGTTGCTCGGTCTCCTCATGTTGACAGGATCGTGGGGTTTGACGCTCGAGGGCTGGGTCATCATGTATGCCTGGTCTTTGTTCGTATACGGTATGGCCCGTTGAACTCGCGGAGCGCGTTCGCCCTCGGCGCCGACATTTCTAACTCGTGGGTCTAGGGATCGGAGTCGGTGGCGAATATCCCATTACAGCGACGTCATCCATGGAAAATGCTGTATCGGCTGGGAGGTTATCCACTAAAGACGACCGCCTCCACCGCGGCAGGAAAGTCACGATGGCGTTCTTGATGCAAGGCTGGGGGCAATTCGTCAACCAGGTCGTGCTCATCGTCCTCTTGGTCATCTTCAACCGTGGCAGTAGTGAGCCCCCCTACTCCGCGACGGCCGCCCAGTACGCTTTTCGTCTATCCTTTGCATTCCCCGCTATCGGTACGCTTTGGCTCGCCTACTACCGTACCTGGAGAATGAAGTCGGCCAGCAAGCATCTCGAACAAGCCAAGAAGAAGGCGAATGTGACGGGGTACGACGTCCGATCCCTCAAATTGACCTGCAGCAACTTCGGCGGACGTCTATTGGCCACTGCCGGCGGGTGGTTTTGCAACGACGTATTCTTCTATGGGAATAAGCTATTCCAAGGTGAGCAAACCGCGTAATTTGAGCTGCCGTCGAACCGTGTAGTCTAACTCTTGAGCACCAAGGCCAGTTCATTAACGTCATCTCCAACAATCCCAGCTCGGTCATGACGACGTGGACCTGGAACTTGGTCAACGTTGTCGTGTCCCTCTGCGGTTACTATGCGGCCTCGATGCTGATCGACAACAAAATGTACGGCCGGAAGATGATGCAACAAGTACGTGGTGTCGTTCCAACCCTGCCCCTCGGGAGCGGTTGCGCTAACCTTTGGCTAGGTCGGGTTCCTCATGTGTTTCGTCATGTTTGTGGTGCCAGCCTTTAACTATGAGTATTATACGAGCCCGGCAGGTATCCACGCTTTCCAGGCCATGTACTTCTTGTCGTCGTTTTTCAACCAGTTTGGTCCCAACTCGGTCACCTTCCTCGTCGCTGGGGAGGTATTCCCTACTCAGATACGCGCCAGTGCGCACGGGTTCTCGGCCATGATTGGCAAGGCTGGCGCCCTCCTAGCTTCGGTCTTGTACAACTATATCGACAACCAGACCAAGTTCTACGTTGTTCCTTGGTTTGGTCTTGCTGGCATGTTGATCACGTGGCTCTGGCTACCTGACACCACGGGACTTGATCTCAAGGAACAGGAGCGGCGCTGGCACTACATCCTGAACGGACGTGACAGTGAATATCACGGCATCGCCATACACCCGCAGCACCTTTCTGTCTGGGAGAGGTGGGTTGGCGTTGGAAAGAATTACCACCCCGAACTGGACGTGAAGGCTAAGATCAGGGACCTCCGGGCGGACTGGGAAGAGAGGGAAGCTGCCAGAGCGGCCAGCGATGTCGAATCGGCGTCCTGTGAGGATGACGACAATGAGGATATGACCAGCGAAATCCACGACTACTTCCGGGGAACCAGCAGCAGCAACGGTGGCAATTCGTTGAAGAAAGAGAAACCAACTACGGGGGAAGGTCAGGCTCAAGCTTCCAGATCGACTGATGGTCACAGTAACAGCACACTAGGAGAGCTGTCGGCGAATGAAAAATCCGAAGGGGGGGATCGTAGGCGACAAGCTTGAAAAACGACCTACCTAGGTGACGGCTTAAGTACCGGAAATGCTACCTGTGGGATTTTGTGCCTCTTTTTGAAGTAAAAGTGAATACATCATGATTAGACGAGAGACAATCGGCGTATTATTAACTGCTTGAATACTATAGATCTGGGCGTCGCGATCCATGGTACCTAGGTAATGTCTCGAGAGTAATTTTGCGGTAAGCAGGAAAACACGAAGACGGGGGCTTATGTATTTACGAGGTGTGTCCCTTTTCTACGTAACTAGGTACCTAAGTATAGGGCTTAGTCCCTGAAGAATTACCCATCATTAGGTAATACATACCTACCCAGGTCAGGTGATCGCGTGTTTCCGTTGCATTACCAAATCATTCCCATAGCGTGTTGAGAACGGCTTTAACGGACGTCACGAACCTACCTGCCTATAAGCCACGGGATGTCTCTGGGGGGGTTCAATCCAACTAGGAATCCTCACATTTTCCCACACGCATGCCCTATACTGACCGCGCGTAGCTCCCTTCTCCCTTTAGAGAACCGGACTGTCGGACGAGAGGAAGGTTGTCTTCCTATTTAGCTGCCCAGGCGAGCAGCAATCGGAACCCTTTCCTCGCTATTCTTTTTGACATGCGCTACCGCGGAAACTCTACCCCGACACGATGCCCTCGCCGATCGCAGGTAAATCGACGAACTTTCGGAGGCAATCCAAGCTGAACTTCGGTTTGGCTAATGGCAGCAAGGATGGCGGATCGAAGACTCCCATTGGGAAAAAGAAGCCCGCCAACGGAAACATCCTCAATTTCTTCAAGAAGGTCGAGGTGGAGGAGCAGCTGTTCTGTGATGGCCCTAAGAATGCGCCCCTGACTGCGCCACCAGCCCTCAAAGAGGAGGATCTCTACGACCTTGATGACCGTGAAGACGAACCAAGCACAGCAAAACGGAGGAAGTTGAGCCATGAGGGCAATGAGGACGCGCCCCATACGCCAGAAAGCGAGCCTCGCCGCGAACCCGACGGGACGAAATCTGCGGCACTGGAACAGACACAGATGCGTGCGAAACGACCCCGAGGGAGGGGTCCCTTTCTTTATAACTCTGACAGCGAAGACGATGACATCGAAAGCTCTCCAGCTAAACGCGCTCCTGATGACGAACTGCTCGCCGCTACATCGCTAGGCCCGAATCCGCAAGAAAAGGCAGAAACAGACTTTGTGCCCAAGTTGCCGACTGAGGAGAGCTGTTCAGAGGTGCTTGACGCTCCACTTAACCAAGACGACATTGCGGATGAGGAATTTGAGAATCTAGAGGACATCGAGGGGCTGTTCGACGACGCCGACGAATTTGATGACGGTGAGGAAAACCGCGAAAGATACTTTATGGAAGAACAGGCCAGGCTCGAAGCCGAAGAAGCAGGGGATTCTACGTCGGGTGGAATGGTGGACGGACCTCAGGAGGTGGAAGGGATCGTGGAAAGCTGCCCACTGTGCAATGCCAGCCTAGCCGGGATCACCCCAGACCAGGCAACGGTGCATGTGAACGCCTGTCTCGACGGACACCCTATGCCACCCGCAAATCCAGAGAAGCCGGCGCTGCCGGAGACAGTGGGCGCGCCCGAAGTGGGCAAGCGTTTTGCCAAAGCAGCCGTTCCCCGACCGGGCCAGGCCAATCCGATCAGCCTGGGAGGCACGGAAGGGCAGTCTACCTCGGCATTTAGCAAGCTGATGTCGGGGCACGCCGAGAACGCGGCGTGGGCCACGGCCGCCGCCTCGGAGCAGTCGTCTCGCGGCAAGCCGGCCCATCAGCGGACGTGCCCCTTCTACAAGATCATGCCGGGCTTCTCGATCTGCGTCGACGCGTTCCGGTACGGCGCGGTCAAGGGCTGCAGCGCCTACTTCCTCAGCCACTTCCACAGCGACCACTACGTCGGCCTGACGGCGAACTGGTCGCACGGCCCGATCTACTGCAGCAAGGTGACGGGCAGCCTCGTCAAGAGCCAGCTGCGGACCGCGGCGAGGTGGGTCCGGGAGCTCGAGTTCGAGGAGACGGTCGAGATCCCCGGCACCGACGGCGCCACCGTCACCATGATCCCGGCGAACCACTGCCCGGGCAGCTCGCTCTTCCTCTTCGAGAAGGCCGCCGGCGGCGGCACCGGAAATAGCCGCAGGAAGCAGCGGATCCTGCACTGCGGCGACTTCCGCGCCTGCCCGGCCCACGTCACCCACCCGCTGCTGCGGCCCGAGACGGTCGACGCCGTCTCGGGCCGCGCGAGGCAGCAGAAGATCGACGTCTGCTACCTCGACACGACGTACCTCGACCCGCGCTACGCCTTCCCGCCCCAGGACGACGTGATCGCGGCGTGCGCTGAGTTCTGCCGGGCGCTGTCGGAGGACCCGCGGGTGGCGGACGAGGTGCTGAGCGCGGCGAAGCGGGGGAAGCACCGCGGCGGCGGCGGCGGCGCGTCGGTGAGCAAGTTCTTCCCCCGCCTGGAAGACGGAGGGCGCGCGCAGGCTGCGGGGGAAGGAAGCGGAGAAGCAACGGCAGCGGCGGCCGGAGGCGGACCGCGGGCGCGGGCGCAGGCGCAGGACCGGCTCCTGGTGGTGTGCGGGACGTACTCGATCGGCAAGGAGCGCCTGTGCAAGGCGGTGGCGCGGGCGCTGGGGACGCGCATCTTCGCGCCGGCGGCGAAGCGGCGGGCGTGCGCGCAGCTGGGCGACGCGGAGCTGGCGGCGCTGCTGACGGCGGACCCGCGCGCGGCGCAGGTGCACCTGCAGCCGCTGGGCGAGGTCGGCGCGGCGGCGCTGCGCGCGTACCTCGACGGGCAGCGGCCGCACTTTGGGCGCGTGGTCGGGTTCCGGCCGAGCGGGTGGAGCTTTCGCGGCAGCTCTAGCGGTAGCAGCGCAGCGGCGCCGTCGACGCCGGACATCCTGCACGGCGCGGCGTGGCGCCCGCGGTTCGGGCGGCGCGACCTCGCGGCGGCGGCGGCGGCGGCGGCGCGCGGCGCCGCCCCCGACGCGCTCTGCCTCGCCGTGCCCTACTCCGAGCACAGCAGCTTCCGCGAGCTCGCGCTCTTCCTGCTCGCGCTGCGCGTCGACCGCGTCGTCCCCACCGTCAACGTCGGCTCCGACGCGGCTCGCCGCCGCATGCGCCGCTGGACCGACCGCTGGATCGCCGAGCGCCGCCGCGCCGGCGTCGCGCGCCTGCTGCCCGGTCTGGGCCCGGACCGCGACGGCGCGGCCGAGGAGAGCGGCGACGCCGAGGCGCGGCTCTGGGACGGCAGGGATGGCGGCGCCGGTGGCGGCGTACGGTGGTAGGTGTTGGATCGCGGTGGCTGTGTGGGTGCTGTGGCTGTCGTTCTTAGGGGGGTAGAGCGTTGGGGCGTATATATATGGTCGTCGTCGAGCAGGCGTGTGTAGATGCTGTACTATAGGTCCCCGTACCTACTTACCTGCTCCTTTTCTTCCGTGCGTCCCTGCACCGTTTCTATCCCTCCCACCTCGTTAACTGGGTGACTCTATTACGTTGACTTTTCTGGGAATACTTCCACCCCGCTGGCCCGCTGGCCGGACGTAGATAAGGACGGGGTAGGACTACAGACAGCCTCCGGTGCGCATGTCCATCCGTTTCCGCACGGCATCACGCGCATATACATACATACCGCCTTATACCCGTTCCAGTCGGCAAGTAAGTAGTCACGGCCAAGCACAGCGCATCATCGTCAGCCAGACTCTCCTTTCTTCTTCCTATTCACCGTTTACTCCTCCGCGTTTCTCTCTCTCTCTTTCTCTCTCTCTCTCTCTACTGCCGAGGTATATCCATTCACCGAGCTCTTCCGCCCCGGCGCGCTCCTACGTAGATAGAACGCGTGGCAATTTGCCAGGTCCCAGCGCCCCTCCGTTTCTAGTGCGCAGCTAGCCGTACAGATGTGCGTGCGCAAGATGCTCATCGCCCGCCCCCTTTCCGCTGCTCGCTCGATTGTGTTATCTAGTGGCGGATCACTCTGCCGGAGCGGCTTGTCCGTATTCATATTATACACATACATCGTGCGCACGCGCGCACACGCGCACGACACCGTACCGCGGCTATTCGTAGAAGCGCACATACCCCTCCGCTGCCGCGGGTGCCTTGCCCTCCTCGCTGGGGCGCCGCCGGCATTGATCGCATGCCCGCTCATTTGCCCTTGCCAGCTTGCTGTGCGGCTTCTGCGGCAGTGTTAGCCATTCTCCATTTATATATACGCGCCGTCGAGATGTACTCGTAGTTATAGCTGCGTCGTGGGCGCGTAGTTCCGTATTCTCCCCCTCTTTGCCTTCCTCTTCAGAACGCAGGGTGAAAACAAGGGGGGAGAGGAAGGAAATAGAAAGGGGGGTGGGATTGGTCCATATAATTGATCGGGAAATGTATAACCGTACCTCTCCTTGTAGCATCCTCCAACAGCGGGACGTCCACAGCGTTGGCAGGCAGATGGACGTATCTGACTACGGACCCGCGGATGAATACATTTTTAACAGAGCTCTACGCACGGTTTGTTATCTGGTTAGCGTATTCCATCGATTCTCCCATCGCCGCACTGGCGAATTTGCCTCATTAAACGCATTCGCTCGCTAAAGATCTGCTTGGGGACGTGTAGGATGGGGGGCTATGGAGGCTGGGATGGTGATGAGCGAGAGGGAGACTCTGTGGAACACAATACAACGAAGCTGAACTCACAAGATGCGGATACTTGACCTCCTCAACGACTTGGATGTCGTCAAGCTTGATGTTGAGGTACTGGTCGACGCTCTTGAGCGTGCCACGAATCTGAATGTCATTCTTAAGCTCGACCGTCACCTCGTGGTCGATGAGCGTTTTGAAGAAACTATTTCGTCGAGTTAGCCGGCTCGTCGCATCGGTTGCATGGGTGGATATAAAATCTCCGCCCTGTCTCTCTCTCCCTGGCCCTCTTTTCTCGCATGTTTACCCTCCCCCGTCCCTAGATACAGCGCCGACCCCATTCCTCGACGACCCCCCTTTTCCAGCCCCTCATGGGGGCCCCGTCTGATGACGAGTCCACGTGACGAGGTGAAGGGAGCAGAACGTAGATATGCCAATGCCAATCCCTTTGTCTAGCTCTAGCTCCATCCAATGACGGGTAGGAGAATTCGGTCCAGTTCGTGCTGTCTCCCCACCCACCCTGTTACTGACAAGGCTGTGCGGCTCTCGAGACTCCGATCCCCCCCACCAAATCCTTGCGATCTACGCAGATAAGCGAGGCTGCTCCTCGATCGCAACAACAACTCCGCTCGCCCTCGTCGCGGGCCCGACTCCTAACCTCGTTTATCGCCGCAACCGGCCGCTTAAAGGACGGGGAGGTAATGCAGGTGCATATACCTACCTCTAGGCATCTTTGTAGCAAGCAGGCTTGGTTGGCTTTGCAGGGGAGGAACGGGCACGGAGAGAGGCAAAGAGTGCTCCCCCCTCCCCCCTCCCCCAAGGATATTCGTATACGAATAAGTGGGATGGGGTAGTTTAGGAAGGGAAGGGAGAGGAAGTCGATGTTAGAGAAAAAATAGACTTACCTAAAAAACAGCATCTTGAGGAGAGAACAAAAAGATGGCGAAACGTCGGGTTTGGGTTGATCGGTCGGGTTCTCGCGTGCCAGAAAATTCCAGCACGGTATCCAGAGGTAAGTGGACAGGCAGACAGGCGTTTGAGGTGGCCGGAGGAGGGATGGAATGCGGTGCTCGGGATTCGCTGTGATGTCGTCTTCCGCTTAGCTGTATGGGTATGGCAAGGCAGGGCAAAGGTGAGAGAGGTTAGGCCAAGGCAGGATGGGACAGGATGATGGAGGGAGAGGCGTACCTTGCCGAAGTCGGGTTACGTAAGATGGGTGCGTATGGTCATGTAGGTACCTTACTAAAGGTGCCCTGAGGTTAGGCCAAGTAGGTACCTACTACCCAGCACCCAACTTATCCGCGTTATGAACCTAAGCCAAACGCTGGCAGTGGTTACATCCCCCCTCCCATCAACCGGATCTGGGGTCCATCTCACGTGACTGGTCGCGACAAAAGTCCCAGCGAATACCTGCCGCCTTGGGTAGTAGTCCTGACTCCTCCCAGGGTACTACGGTAGGTAGGTAGGCAGGTAGAGGTAGGTACCTAACCTACCTACCTTAGGTACCTGCCGGGCCTGCACATAATATATCTAGGTACCTCCTAGGCATGTACCTACCTACATGCATACGCACATAACCCAACAGCGATGCACCGTAGCTAACCCACCTAGTAACGAGACGATGCATTCCGAGGTGCGCTGCAACAGTACGTGACAATTCATCACCTCCCGACCCTATCACACAGCTATCATACTACATATTACCACAGTACCAACATTGCCGCACTCCGATACCACGCTTGCTAGCCCAAATGCTACGCCAATCTCGCCTACAAAATCAATAGCTGACCGGCCTTCGGGCATCAACCACCGCAACATACCTGGGGGGGGATACCGCGCCTCTCGCCTTCTCCTCCCATGTCTTTGGTACATCCCTACGCCTACGTAGCCTAGCTTAGGTAGGAGATAGCTATGGTAGATGTACTCCGCTCACATCTACACACGCACGCTTATACACCTAACACACCTATACACATACCTGACCAATGTGCACATACGGGGGTGAGCTGAGGTCGGATCCGGTTCAACCCCCCTCGCCAGGAGAGAATGCGGAGAAACCCACCCTGCTACGCGGAATGCAACGCGAGAGACCAGAACCAATGTCACTGCATGGAAGCGCAAGCCGTACTTCGTATTTCCTGTGCCTCATTGTTCCCTAGTCATCCGGCGACGGACTGCCATTTGGAATCTATTCCATCCCGAGAGAGCCCCCAGTGTAGGAGAACCGGCTATCCGGTGAGATCCTGCTTCTTAGCTTTTTTTCTTTTTTTTTCTTTTTGCCAATTTAGGAAGGCCACTCCTGATCTCTTGCTTCCCGATTCTTTCTGTTTTTTTTTCTCGGTTCCTGTCGTGTTCGAGAAAGTAAAAAAAAAAAAGAATTTTAACGCCTCAACGCTCGCCCGACGCATCCTTGGTAGCCTGACCGCTTGCGTGTAATATCCGACTGGTGTGAGAGGAGGAGAGAGAGGGAGAGACAGAGAGAGAAGAAAAGGCACAATAATATATCTGATCCTCGCCACGCGCCCCCCTCCTCCCCTTTCTCTCAAACCCCCCTCTTTCCCCGTTTCCCGTCCTCAAAATAGCTGACACGAATCGGAAGAAATAAGAGATGGATTAGGAAAAAGAGCAACAACAACAACAACAACGACAACCAAATCTGGCGAATTGGGGGTATCCTTCCGTTTGTCTCATTTCATTCCGTGCAATCTTCCTCCCATCAGACTTCCTTCCCTAAGCCATAGTCCCATCCCACCGAACGTGCCAAGTTAATTTCATTAATAAAACCGAAAGAAACACAACAGAAGGAACGAGAAATTATCGCGTGGGCGACGAAGAAATGCTTTAGGGAAATCGAGAACGAATGTCCGGGCGCCCCCTCCTGGCAAAAGTATCCCATTCCATTTCGTTCCCTAGTGGACCTCCGGGACCTCCTACAAATCAATAGAAGAAAAAAAAAAAAAAGGTCGCACCGTCAAGAGGGACAGATAATAAACGGATGGGGGATACTCGGGCGTATTTCCCATCCGGAATAGTCCCCTGCTATGCTCCCGTCGCCAGGATACGGAGAGGGAAAGGTAAATAGGGTGGTAGGAAGAATCGAGTTTATCGTAGCGTCGTAGCGGCTTACAAAGCAAATTGGAGTGTGACGTTGCTGCCTCTGGCTCGACCACCCTCATCAGCTGTCTTCCTCCGCATCATCATCCTCCTCATCATCGGGAGTCACCGGTTCCGTCTTGGCCTTTTTGTTCGGCGTAGTCGTGCTCGTCTCAGATTTCCGCTTCGAGCCGGCCTTGGCGGTCGTTGTCTCGCTAGCAGCAGCGCCGTCCTTCTCCTCGTTCGCGTTCTTGACCCTGTCCATCTCCGCCACCTCCTCTGCGGTCAGGAACCGACCGCCAGGCCCTCGAGGTCTTCGCATTGCGTGATTATGTCGCGATTCGTGGAGGTAAGGCTTCCGCCCCTTGCTCGTCAACCGCAGGGCTTCCTCCAAGCGCTGCCGAGCTACTCTCCTCTTGAGGATGCGATGAAACTGCTTTGCGTTGACGTATAGCGGAGACTCTTCGGCACCCGCCGCCATCTCGGGCGACTGCGGAGGCGGCATGGACTGGGCCGGTGGCATCGGGGGCGGCGCGACGGCGCCGCGCGCGGCATGGTTCATCATGGGCGCGTTCGGCACGCCGGGGCTCGTGACCTGACTCAGGCGTCGGCCGGGTAGCTGATTGACGTTATTCATCTGCTGGGGCGAGCGCGGATCGCGCGAGTCCTTCTTGCCGCCCGAGGTCATCCTCGGAGAGCTCTGGGTCAGGCTGGGGTCCGAAGGCATATAACCCGAATAGCTAGGGCCGCCCGCGGCGGCGGCGGTCGCAGCCATAGCAGCTGCCTGGATCTGGGGTACGCCGTAGTGCATGCCCTGCTGGGGCACGCCGTACTGGGTCTGGTACATGTTGTGTCCTGGGCCCGGAGTCGATGTCTGGTGCTGTGATGGTAGGATTGGCGAGGTCTGAACGCCGTGCTGATGTATGCTGTGACTCGTTGGAGACGTGATGCCGCTCCCAGCACCCGAATTTGTGTAACCAGAATGCGCCGACTGTGGTGGTTGCTGGTATTGCGCGTAGTCCATCATTATCGGAGACGAACAGCGCGCGGGGCGGCGGGGATTTCGCGATACCCAAACGTCGATGTCTCGGCTTCTGCGATGCGAATCAGAGACAGCGGGTTCGGCCTGGCAGGGAAATCCGTTGGTCAGTCGTGGATTGGCTGTGCTACGGCTCTCTGTGGTGAGATGATGAGTTGAGACGGCGCGCAAAAGCTTAGCCCGGGGTTGCTTGACGTCTTCAAGATAAAAGGCTGCGAGGTTGACTATACGGTCGGCTGCGGTTGGGCACAACGCGTTGGGACGGCCCTCGATCACTTAGGTAGCTGCGAGTGTAGGCTGGATGTGCATCCAATCTATTGGATATGCGTGGATGAGCTGGCAATGAATGATGTGGTAGGTGCACGCAGAGGGTCGCACCAGGGCATATGCAAAACGAATGTATCTCGCGGGGTGGGATCAAGGTGGTCCAGATCCCCAAGGAGAGGCGCAACTTGACAACCACGTGAGATCTGGGGGTATGTGAGCTGCTGTGAGGCTATCCAGCCCGACAATAGGCCCTATGGCAATGGTTCTGCGGGTGCGGGTAGCCTAGCGAAGCAGGTCGACGAGGTTCTCGAGGCCTATTCGCAACAGCCGTTCGGATTGTGGAGAGCTGTCCAACCAAAGACATTAGATTCGTCCACAACGATTTTATGTATTATCACGTAGGAGAAAATCTCGGGTGGTGAAGAAAGGGGGGGGGGGGGGGGGGGTGTGAGATGGGAGGGGGGCGTGTGTGTGCGCGTGAGGATTGGGTGTGTGAGAAATCATTCCTTTTTTTTCTCTCACACACGCTGGGCCACCACTTGATGCGCTGGCATGCATGACGGAATATGCACAAGCCAGGCTCCACCCTGGCGACCAGCTCAGCGGCAGGAGATCCCAACTTCGATGTGTCTAGCAGTGGCGCAAGGCGAGGGCTGCCCGATATGCTCGGCTCTGAGCAGCAGCAGTCTTGTCTGTCTGACGACATGAGAGCTAGGGCGTCTTCCAGGGTCTCCCCCTCCCTCCTCTCCGTCTCTCCCCCTTCCCTCCGTCTCTCTCTGTCGCTGCATCCCCTCGTAGCTCTCCATTCCCGCTGTGCGCTCGAAGATCTCGAGGCTGCATCCCGCTGATTGGCCTAAAAGCGCACATGCATCTCTCGGACACCTGCAACGCAGGCATGTAGAGCTCGTTTGGGAAGAGGCGTGGGTGGCTGGCTAGCCACACCAACGAGGGCGCGAAAGGTGTGCGGCAGAAAAAAGGGACGAGCGAAGGAAAAGGAAAGGGCCGGGGCGAGTTACGCAAAGAATGGACGGTTGGTGCCTCGAGTGGAGGAGTTTGCGACGTGAAGAGGGTATACCCGATCGTCAGGCATTGCCTTAGTGGGCAAGAGATGAGATGGTGTGGTGCTGGGCGGTGCGGATGGGTGGGTGGATGTATCGTTGCAGACGAGCAGCGGAGGGGGGAATCAAGGAACAACTTGTCCAAGGTGGGCGGTGGGCAGGAGACGGGAGATACCTACATCCCTCTTTTTGGCAGCTTCCCGAGTACTTGGGTTCGCCTGCGCAGGGTTTGCCGGACGGATGGGACTGGTCGGGTCCGTCTCGAGCAGCGGGAATGTCAGTGGGTTGAAGCTGGATCGCGATAACGGGAGAGGAACAAAGAAATTCTAGAAACCAGATAGCCGAATCGAGCCAATAGCCACGCTGGCAGCAATACGGGCTTCGAGAGGGGTGGTGATGGCTTTAAGCCTATTCACCGCAGGCATGCCGCATGCACGTGAGAGTACAATGTAGTAAAGGGATGATGGGCGGATGCACCGTATCGGGGTAAGCCCGGCCACCAGGCCACCATGGCGATGGGAATAGCTGAGCCTGTGTACCTGTATGTGCCGGGATTGCGGTCGCCTGGGGTTATTTGCGCGCAGGAGGGGAGGGGAGAGGAGGGGCGCCGAAGGAGAAGGCAGGCCGGTATGCGCGCGTAAAGACGGGGTGCATACCGTGTGGTAAGGGAGGGCTCACCAAGCAGAGAGAGAGCGAGGCGGAAGAGGGAGAGAAACACGAGGTAGAATCAACTTACAATCAGATTTCGCGAGTCCCAATCTCTTTCGAACCGTCGCCGTCTCTGATGGAGCCGCGAGAGTCGTTGTCCGCAGACAGCCTCAATCACCTGATGAAGGAATAGGGCCAATAATAAGAATGAAGCTGGTTCTGACGATGATGATAGGCCTTTGGCTATTCGAAACGAATGTTAGATTATATGGCCGGCACTAAAGAGCTCAGATGGTGATTTGCTGGGTCTGGGTGGGTTTCTAGTCGAGTCGAGTCTCTTTGCGCTGTAGCGCTGAGTGGCTGGATCGGGGTTCCTAGGCATCCCCCCATTCGACCCAACTTCTATAGCGACCCGAAAGAAAGGATTGGGAAAGGGAGGGGATAAGAGGATAATAATAACAGCAACATCAACAACAATAACAACAACAAGGCATATCGGAGGCCTGCCGCGTTGCCTATAGTCCTGCGGAATAGGCACAGTACCGAAGGGAGGGGGGAGGGGAGAGGGCGAGAGAGAAAAGAGGAAGAAATACGCGCCGTACCTCGAGACAGCTTGTTATCGCAACCACCGCTTCTATAAGCAGCTGCCGCCGCTGTTGATCTGCGCACTTTCAAGATTTGGGTCCAATGCGCACGCGCGCGCGATGGTCTCTCCTGTGCAGAACAGAGGAGAAGCGAGCAGCTAAGGGGGGGGGTAAAAGAAAAAACCTAGGCAGCGCAAGCAAGGAGAGCAAGTCGCCAAATCTACGCAAAGTGTTGCAGAAGGCGGCTGTCCTACAGACGACCCGTCTCTTGTTGCGCGTAGGCTGGCGCCTGATAGCAGTAGCCCCCCGACAATAGATGTCGGACAAGAGTTGTCGAGAAGCGCCTATATGCAGGCAGGAGGTGGCGGCAACAGGTGATGGTGGTGGGAAGTGGTGGGAAGTGGTGGTGATATGGCGCGTCGGGTCGTGACGATGCGTGTTTTGTGACTCTGCCGTGTGGGTTGTGCTTCTTGTGCTGGTGCTCGTGCTTCTGGTTGTGCCGTGTCCTGCCCTTTTGCGTCCGTACCTCCACCAGACCCTTCGAGCGTCGCGACGATTCCTCACTGGACGGAGGGCGAGTTCTGGGAACGGCAATGCGGAGCGGATAAATGTTGCAAAGAGGGCCGAGGGCCAGTATAGAGTTGAGCGTTCCGACGGCTCCCAGCGAACCAGGGCTTTGGGGGGGGCGGCCTGATCTGATTCGACGTTATTTATTTTTCCAACTACAGACTTTGTGGGAGTCTGTTTGGGTGGAAAATGGAAGGGCAGAGCGCGCGAGAATGGCAATTGATTCGATGGTTTTTTTAAGAAGCGGTGGACCGAGAGGGGAGAGGGGGGTTGATTGGTGAGAAATAGGTAAGAGACGAGTAAAAATCGAGGGAAGGCGAAGCTTGGAGGGAGGGGGGGAGCCAGAGGGACCCGACGTTTTAATGGGGCGGCTTTTGTGACTAATCAGCTGCCAGGTTGAAATCTTCGATGTGGGTCCCCATGTGGGGCTCTTATAGCGTGCGTGCCATTATACCTGTGGATGTGTGTGCCCAGCGTACCGCGTACGTTGTAGATACCTTGGGTGCCTACCCGCGCAAGTGCGCACCTGCGCACGTAGGCGACCCGAGGTACTGGGGCCGCAGCAGCAGGAGTGCGTATACGTGTGTACACGCTACGTAGCAGGTACCTAAGGCCTGTGTGTGTGTCAAAAGTGTGGTATGCGACTGCCTTTTTACCTGGCCTAGCCTGGCTCTGTACTACGTAGTATGTACTTATGTACCTACATACGTACGTCTCCCATGTCCCTGCCCCCTCTAGGTTAGGGACTTTTCAACACCCCTACCGGCCAGCGGCTTCCCACCTAATACGGGTGTTCTAGGCAGTGCTTCGATTTGGATACAATTACATGCCCGCCTCTGTACCCACGTAATATATATACATACATACATACATACATACATACATACATACATACATACATAGGTACCTACCTACTTTCCTAACAATGCCTGTTGCACAATGCCCCGGTAGCGAAGCCCTGCTGCCTCTGCCACTGCCGCTGCCACTTCCGCTACCAGGCAGCTTAGGTACCCAGCCACTCCTCCGTCCCACGTTGGGTACACGAGGTGTCTAGTATAATCCTACGTGTGACAGGTACCTAACCTAATGTATCGCATCGGTATGCTCCTGCCTGCTTTGCCCCCCCCCCCCTTTCCCCTAGTCTGCGTGGAAATATTCCGTGGCTTGTTGGGGCTGGACCCAATCTTTTTTTATTCCTTTTTTTTGTTAAATTCCTTTTTTTCTCATTTCCGTGTTTTTTCTCCCCCCAGTTCGCTTCTCTCGCTACTTTCAGCTTCCTTTCCCCTCGAACGACTTTTTCATTCCTGGTAAGATAGGCCACCTACCTACATCACCGCCAAATACAAATCATCCCATCAGCTCGGTCATAATTTCATTCTCGTCTTGTCTCTGACTGCGGCCCCTGTATGCGTCGCTGCGCGGTTATTTGACACTACTACGCGATGTGCATACATGGCATACCCGACCAATTTGAAATGGAAATGCCTCTGCCCTCGTCGTTCCGCGAGCCGCAAGCCGGTGGCTGGGCCTATCTCCCTCTCTCCCCATCACCCCGACACCCTAGTCTCCAGCCCCCATCCGAGGGCCCTTTCGTTACGTAGCCCGCTTGACGTGTCAGCGTCCTGCTCAAGTGACGGGAGAATCACGTTTGACAGGGATCCTCTCCCAGGTCCCCGCGCACCAGCACTTCACCTCGCATCCTCGATGCGCACGGGGGGATGTACGCACATTATGTGTGTACACCCATCCCAGGTAGGACAGCGAGAACTTCCGTCCCAGCGTGCCAGGGAGAGTCCCGCTGGTAGCCTGTGAAGTAGAGGTGGTGAGAGCCAGCGGGGTTGGCTAATCGTCATCGCTTCCGCCT